ACGCGCGTACTATTTGCTCGTGGCACAAAAAGCTGATCTGTAGTTTGTCACAAAGATCAGAAGGTCATAACTTTTTATGATAAGGTTCTTTTGAAAAAATCATGAAAGCCAGTTCGTTAAACGGTTTCCAATTTGTGGAAATCTCAAGTCATAGTGGAGATCTGGATCGGTGGATCGGAATGCATATCATTAGATGCACCTGTTTGAGTTAATTCCAGATAAACTTCCGCATACCTACTGAGTGGCTTATTAAAAGAACTCACGAGAATCTGAGAGTTCAAATAAGGCAAACTTTCAGTGTCATTCCCTCGATGACCACTCATTCCAAAACACTTGTTTTTGTTTCCAAAATGCGTGCATTTGTAGTCGATCACTCAGCAAGCCAAGTACGCTATTCTAAGGCGGAGTTCGGAGCGCGATACGCATTAAAATCCCAATGACTTCAAACTTTTGACCGTTCACAACTTCTTCTGGAAGTCAATTATCAGATATGGAAGGTAGCTATGAAATCAGGTTGTCGAAACGTATCCAATGATTTATTTTTGACCCAAATCGCTACTGCAGCATGGGATCCTTCTTCTGCAAAAATTTTAAAAACTCGCTAGCTCGTCATACTAGAAGGTCAGTAGAATCGTACATCGTAATCTTCGTCTAGTGTGCTTCAGTGATTGTGCTTATAGTACAGAAAAAATGCATAAAGGTTGTGATACTTTTCCAGCTCGAAATTTTTGAATGTAAAATGAAAATGAATGAAAATCGCGGCGAATTAAATCGCGACGATCAAATCGCATGAACTCTGCCCGAGGCCATACAAATTTTCTCATCATTGTCCATTTGCCGATTTGATGATTACCCTTGCTGTTTTTGTTGCACGCGATACCTCTTCCAAACTTTTCTTACGGTGATTTTGGTATAATGTCCTCCCTCCACTAGACGCTTAGTGGACGTATTCGTGTTCGAACTGAAGCATGCCTGCAGTGGCAGACCACGCGCCTCAAATCCGTTTCAAGCTCATGCAGTATTCCTTTGTTTTTTCTACAGTGGCGTTTGTAATCAGAATTGACGAGTTTGTTGTTGTTTAGCTATACTTCACACTACTATGCTCGTTTTTCTAGCTCCATTTTCATGTGAGGTTGGGAAACGATGCATATGAGGAGTTCTTGGCACAAAGTTCATTGAAGTAACACTTTAGTTTAAATGGCATGAAATGTCGGAAAAACAAAAAATATGCTTGAGAATGAACTTAGGGCCAAAGTGCCCAGCTCTGCCCCAAACGGCATACTTTAGTTTGAATTCGAATTCGTCCACCAGGTGTCTAGTGGGGAACGATTATGGAAACCACTGTTTCAGACTATGAAGTGTAGCCTGATGCTCTACGCCATCGCCACGCTCTGCACCTTACTCACTGTGCACGCCTGGACCTGGGATAGTCGTGATCATTATTATGGTCCACGACCGTGGAGTCCACCGTTCAGACCAATTCAGCCAGATGCTCCACCGTGGTGGCAGAAAGTGCCATGGATGCCGAAGACCCCACGCCCACAATATCCATCGTATGGACCGTATCCACAACCGCAACCGCCACAGGGGTACCGGCCGCTTCAACCAAGTCCAGGATCGGCTTTTCAAAGATACGGGTAGAGGACTATATGTCGCCGAAGTGGGAGAGAGTCCCGCGAGGTCAATGCAGCGATGCTCAGCCTGTGCTTGTATTAATATATGTAAGTACTTGTTGCAGATGTCCGGCGGGACCTCCCAATTCCGGTGACATATATTTCCCTCCCCCACAGATACTGATCGTAGTATCGAATAAAGATGGCTTGATAGAATGATTGACTGGCTAAATGTGACTCTCCAATCCATACAAGTGAGAGAAAAGCAATGTTTACAGTAACTTTTTTATGCCAAATCCACCTGACTTGAGCGAGCCAGTAATGATTACTACATGAAAACTAGATAACTGAAGAACAAACCATTTCAAAGTGGTCACTGTAGAAATGCTCGACTAAATAGTAAGGATATTTTGAGAATATGTTGCAATTGCGATATCTGCTTGAAAGCCGTCCAAGTCCGAAGATGGTGAGATTCTGATGCAGTACTATAGCAAGGCCCTTAACTACCCTAATTTCACGAATACAACACGCACCTGTTTTTTTTTTAAACTCGACCAGCCTGAGTAAATCAAGAAATTTTACAACAAATGGATCCTCAACTCGCTGCTGAAAGAAATTTTGTAAGAGAGCGAACATTTTGCGCGGCACTGTGGTGCACGTGAGCTACTTGCACGAAAAAAAAAATGGAAAGCTGTGTCTTGTGTTTATGAAATTAGAGGGAGTAGATTCTAGAACACGCTGTTAAAAGGCTATTCCAAAGCATGAAAATAGCTTCAGAAAGTGCTGAATAACGGCAGTTGTAGGGAGGAGCCAATGGGCTAGGTTTGAAGAGTTCAAGTTATGTATAGTCTAGCATCTCGTGCCCAGCTTCAAACACCGAGTGTGGGGAGGTTAAAACATTTGGTTCCGAAGCGCTTGTCACAGTCGAATGAAGCAATTTTTCGGAACATATTTTTTAGACTTTTGAAGGCATGCTTAGCTAAAGTATATTCCGCAAACGACAAAAGTTGACAAAGAAATTTTGGAACCAAGTGATCACTTATGATCTCTCGCGACAACCGCTTGCCTGTGCTGGCGTTCAAGTTTTGCTTGGCTTGTATATCTGAATTTATAATAAGAATTTGATTTGCTCCGCATCTACCTACACATCTAAAGAAAAACACAGGGAAAAGGTTGATTAGGTGTAGTTCATCTCTTGCCAAATCGACTGAATAATCGAATGTTGAAAAGCATAAAGCTTACAAGTTTCTCTCCTTTCACATATTCATCTTGGCGCACTAATAAAAGCCAAAATTTCCTGCAATCACCAGTATTCCCGTGCTCGTGTTGTTTTTGACAATGCTCAGTATCTCACCAAGATCATGTGTAGCGCTCTGAAGGACCATAAGTGGACTTCCAGGCTTCGCTTTCCCAGACTATTGATTCTGTTCCATATTATTACACATGCCGCGTAAAGACCACTTGCCCATGGAGGCTGCCCGAAGGAATTTCGTTGTTTGCAGTTTGCGTTGTCTCAAAGTTCCAATTATTTACTGACAAGAATGGTCGGAATTCGATGGCCATTCCAAGTTAGCTGCAAATCATTGAATGTAGCATTGCTGGTTATCTGTTTTCTGTATAGGATAAACGCCTTTGTGGACGAAGTTTTGAAGTTCTATTGCAAGAAAATCGTATCAAACCGCAGAATTAGGCAATTATTGAGCTGAGCATAGCCCTTATAAAGTAACTTAGCTGCATACTACGACCCACATGAAGCGGGTAGTATGTTAGTAGTCGATGCAAGGTTGCTCTATTTAGTAGCGGCGGTCTAAAGTTTCCACTACATCGTTTTCTTCAGAGGCGTACGTGGTACGAGGTTTAGAATTTTAAGCCTAATTTTGCGAGTTTCTTCCTCCGTCCTCAGCTGCCTCGGTATTACTTCAGAACAGCAAAAACAAAAATCAAATAGCGTGAGAGATGTGGCGACTTGAGGATTATGGTATAGCCTAATGTACAAGGCGTATGGCAGGCTCTTTTCAGTACAATGTAAAAAGAGTGGTTCAGTGGTAATGTTTACCAGGGTATGCCACAAGGTGCTCGGAAGAACACGAAACGAACAGTGCGGGGCTACGCGCCCCGCCCCCCCCCCCCATGCAAGAAAGGGAGCCGCCATCGGCAGGGGTGCTGGCGTGGCCAGAACGAGAGATGAACTCAACTCGTCCACCGTTGGCGCGCAGGACTTGTGTGGCCGCACTCCAGTGCCACTAATACTAATGAAGATTGTCACACATTCCATTATTCGATCTGATTTAGTGTTCATTCACTCGCATAGCGGTACAAAAGGCGTAAAATCTATCACTTGGGAACAACTTTGTTTATAGTTTCGGCTCCATGTGGTTTTTGCCCACATTTTACTTCAACACTTGGACAAAGCGCAGAAATTTTATCATCAAGATGTCAACAGTTTACATATATTTGTAGGTCACTTCACAGTCAATACCACAATTTGTATGTGCCATATCTAAAAAAAAGACTCATGGAAAGTTGCAAGACCTAACCGCCAACCCATAACAACCATCTAAAGATTTTGCGAGCTTCATCGTAAGGATGCGACAGCATCTCAAAGAACCTTTTTGGCCTTACGCGCTTTGAAGCTCGCGCCCCCCTCACCCGCCCTCGAGGATGGGCCGCGAAACTTTTGAAAGTCACTTATATGGGTTATAAAAATGTGCAAGTGACTTATTTATACTTGTAAACAACTAAAATGATTTTTAAAATTCTTTAAAAATCCAATTTAGCCTTACAAACTTTTTCCAGATGTTAGGGGTTGGGAACTTACAAAAATTTTGAGAAGCACCCCCTACTCCTTCCCCCCCCCCCCGAATGGAAATCCTGGGTATGCCACTGCCATGAGCTACATCTTTGTGCAGGAATTTCCTCGAAGGCTCAGGTAAAGCTTGATAAACTTACATTTACGTAACCAACCCTTTCCTGGGCCGTATTCGCAAACTAAGAGATTTTTGAGCATTTTCTTGGGCTGAAGTACTTAACTCGGCATAGTGGTGATACGGAATTTTGCGTAACAGAAGCTAAGAGAGTCCGCCTAACGCGCAATTTTGAGTTCCACTCAAAGAATTTGCTCCATTCTTGTATGGTGGACTTCCATGCAGGTAGCATGCGCTGTGCAAAATTAGGGCTCAGGACATTTTGTGTAACATGCTCTACCTATTTCGTAAGAGACACACACAGAGTCACGTAAACAACCTGAGCCCTATAACTTATGATCCTCTCCGCGCTATCGCCTATTTTTGTGAATCACGGAATCAGGCAAGATAATGATAAGTATCGAACTCTAATCAGAGATACCGGTAAACAGTTTCACTTCTAGTGCTGCTAAAGTACGCGCCTATGCTATTCAACTGGTTATTTATAATTCACTCAGTCAGTGAATCGTTGCAAGATCGTTTGTATATGGAATATGGAACAACAAGGCATTCATTCCATATACCAATATGCCTTACAACTTTACGCGACCTTCCTCTTCATCTGCTCTCTCCTGCCTTGCTTTCTTATCATGAGATGACGATAACCAAAGAATTCAAAAACGATGTTTTGCACGGCTGAGAAAGCTTTTCCTAGCTCAGTTCAATCATTTGGCATAGGCCAACAAAAATCTTAGCGAAAAAACGAGAATATCGGAAAAGAAGTTTATTTGAGCGTTTCGGATAATTTGCAACGCGCTCTTCCAAAAATCAAATTCTAAGTCCCATTTCTCCGCCTAGACATCAGTAACAAAAACAGCTGTCTTGAAAAATTCCAATATTAACTGTAAAATCTATGCATTTCTGTTCAGATTTTACGAGTTTCGACCGAAGCATATCCTTATCTCTCGAGAAATGAAAATAATGGAACAATGGATCAAGACCTATTGATCAAACTGTTCAAGGAAAAGTATGGCTCGAAGAGGGTGCTGTAAGTACGACACTATGAAAACAATTTGACTCATAGAGCAGGGACATGAGCAGAAACAAAGCGAGCTGTACCCACATTGTCGTCGATCTCAAGAAAAATGAGTACCCTTCCTTGGCTCATACAATTTCCTAGTGGCCAACAATTGCAGACAACTTTCGTCTAGTATCGTACTCTTTCCAAGGGAAATAGTCACCGTTGAGTACGCTACTGAATGTGAGGGAGAGCACAGGGGATGGTAAGAATAATTCATTCAAAGGCAGCGTCCAGGCAGAAATTCGACTTCCATTTTTTTGCCTTATCCAGGCCTTTTCATGGCGCTAATTCCAAATATAGTGCCGAAATGCGTAATATTTCAAAAAACCGCATTTTTGAGACAATTTTGGGGAAGCGTGAACGAATGGAAAGACACTACGTGTTCGACTGTGTTTGTCACTTAAAAACACGTCAAGGGCTAAGGAGAATGCGTTCAAGGGGGCGGGCTGTGCGAGGCAGTGGGCGTGGGTCCTCGAGGCTTGGCGTTTTCTGCGCTTTCTCCTTTTACAGGGGTGTTCAAGAGTCGGATTTGCGCGATAGTTCTAGATCAAGGTCCTAGTACTAGGATATGATAGTAACCAAATGTGTTTAGATCTGTCTAGGCGCTGCCTTTAAGCTAGCGCTTACACGATGCTTATTCAGCCCCGCAAGCACTAGAGGCGTAGAAAGTAAAAGTACTAGAGTTTTCAGCTCAAGCATTTTTTTCGCGAAAAACAGCCGTACATTCGGAAGTCCGTTATGATAAAGAGAAGGCACTCGAGTTTCCATAATCAAGCAAACTGAAGCCAATTATAGGGAGCATTCTATACGCATTATGGATGGAAGATACGTTTACATATCTGACGAAGTAGGAAAAAACGCTAACCAGTAAGTGTTGTTGAGGATAAAAGTTTCAGTAAAAGCGTAGTGTTAAGGAGTGTGATTTTTCGCAAAATTGGCGTCGGATATAGGCGACTGACTACTGCTATTCTAAAGCCGCCCAAAAGTGAGTAACGATAAGCTCATCTAGAAAGTTTTTTTGACACGGAAAATATTTTTTCCAGAGCTTAGCGAAGATAATATCGATACGAGTAAATGGCAAGTCGATAAAGAAGCTTTGACATTTGATAGCTATGCTACAACAATGATAGGTTACTTGCTTGAAATTAGTGTGATCCATTGCACAATATGCAGTATGTTACCGACCGCGCGCTCCCACCAATCAGAGGACGAGTCGTATTTGCGTGAGCGAATACGGTAGCATACTGTAGCACTGCAGAAAGACACCTGCATCAGACTTTTGTAGAGGGGAGGTGGGGGGGGGGAGGCATGTCTCAAAAAAGTTCTGTTTCTTTTACAAGGCTAAATTATATTTTCATAGAATTTAGTAAATCATTGACTATATAAAGTGTAGCGAGTAACTTGCACATTTTCACAGCTCATGTAAGCAACTTTCATATTCCTCTCCCCCCCCCCTGATCCCTCTTCTCGGTCCGCCACTGTCCTGCATGTATACATATCTAATACAGTGATGGCCATAGCTATAAAGCCACCCTAAAAATCACTGTAACTTGCTCTTTCTTGTTCGAAATTGTCTGAAAAACCGCTATTCTGTGGTGAGACCAACATCATATCATTGGCCAGGACGGCTCCCGTTTCATTGATTTTGGCCGGAGAAAAATTGAAAAATTTGAAAAAAAAGGGTTCCCAAGGCTGGTCACAGCTATAAAGCCACCTCTCATTTACAATCAGTACCACGTTCTTGAGGCTGAAAAAAATATAAAACATTTACCACACTTGGAAGGAGTCGCCTTTTCAAAAAGAAGATTCAATTCATCCTGCATTTTCTGCTTCATGTATAAAAAGTTATAATGTTTGGAAAAACTGCCTTTTCACCGTATTCTCAGGCATTTGTTTGATTCGAATAAAGTAGGCTTCGCCGGGCTTTCACAATGAGTATGGTGAAAAGCGCAGGAGTCAACATGGCGTAGCCGCTGGTATTGATATACGAAGCTCAATCTTACTTAGGTGTAAACGAACTTCTGAAACGTAAATCTCGATTTCTGACGCGCGAAAATTTTTTTGTTGGAAGTTGACACCTTGTTTGCATGGTGACGTACTCATGCAGAAGCTGTCAGGCTTTTTACAAAGACATTAGCGGCATTGAAGTTAGAACGCTTTGTCTGCAGTTCGGTTCTGCGCAGTGTATCTCACATGACTTCAAATTTTACTGCTTTGAACTCCTCTTCAAGTCAAATCTTACAGAACTGTCAGAAATACTAGAGCTTCGAAGTTTTGAGGGTTTCCCGCTCGATCGAGAGGTCGGGGTGTGTCACGATCAGGCAGAGGGCACCACTCATTTTTGAAAAAAAGGCGTTCAAGGCGGAATCAAAATCCTGAGGGTTGCGATGACGTTCAAGCTATGCGCACGAGTCTATTGTTGTACAGGCGACGTGCTGAGCACGCGACAAAGCTTTTCGGGCATTAGAACTCAATTTCTGCGGCTCGAAAATTCGTCTACCTGGAGGTGAGGTTGGGGCTCGTTTATCAATATCAGCGACTGCGTCATGTTGACTCCTGCGCTTTTCACCATACCCATTGCGAAAGCTCGGCGAAGCCTAGGACCTTCATTCGAATCAAACAAATGCTTAAGAATTCGGTGAAAAGGCAGTTCTTCCAAATATCAAAAGTTTTTATACATTTTAAGGCAGAAAATGCAGGATGAATCTTCTTTTTGAAAAAGTGTGGTGATGTTTACATGTAGATATTCTATATGTACAAAAAATTTCAGCCTCAAAAAACGTAGTACTTGAATATGGGAGTTGGGAGATTGAAAATGGGAGGTGGCTTTATAGCTGTGACCAGCCTTGGTAACCCTTTTTTTTCAAATTTTTCAATTTTTCTCCAGCCAAAATCAATGAAATCGGTAGCCGTTCTGGTCAATGATATTTGCGCACAGAGTAGCGGTATTTTAGACAATTTTGAGCAAGAGAGGACAAATTACAGTGATTTTTGGAGTGGCTTTATAGCTATGGCCAGCACTGTATATAATTAATCGTTGGCTCAATTCAAAAATCTGCAATTAACGGGAAACCGAGGGCGGGTCCTGAAGCGAACGCTATTCCAGATAGCACCTTTAGATTACTGGTTCGCTAGTTTTCGGATCCAAATCAAGCATCATATTCTATCACCTATTTCAGAGGAGATGTTCATTAGTGGTGCAGTCGAAATAAGCAAACAAGCTTCTGCAAAACTGCTACTCATAGGTCTTGGAGGAGGATACATAAGCACATACCTTCACCATAATTTTCCTCAGGTGAAAAGTAAATTTTCCCGCACGGGCGCATGAAAATATATTTTAGATGGACATTACTTCAATTGAGCTGGACCCTCAGATGGTAGAAATTGCAAAAAGATGGTTCAATCTAGAGCAGGGTGAGAAACATCACGTCTTCATAACTGATGGTGTAAAGTTTGCGAAACGTGCCGCTACGAACGGTAAGTAGATTATTCTAGAAGTTAGCAAAACACTAGAAAAAATATATAAATATACTTTTTATCGAAAGATACATGACCTCCCCCCTCCCCTTTTTTTGAAATTTCCTAACCAACAAGAGACTTAGCTTACAGGAACGACATATGATGTGATTCTTTTGGATGCAAGTGCAGATGTTCCCAAGTCGTTGTTCATTGCTCCTGTTGAAGTTTTTGTCACTACTGATGTAGCCAAAAATTTCGGCAAACTTCTAAACGAAAAAGGTCAGGTTTACTTTGTAGTAAGAAATGGAAATAAGGGCTTATGTGTACATGTACGAAATGCTAACATAAGGGAGCCTAATTACATGGGCTATAAAAATAAAACAATAGCAAAATAAAAAAATAAATAAAAATGTGCACGTGATTTGGTTGTACTTGTAAATAACTAAATTCGATCTATCAAATTTCTGAAAGATAAAGCTTAGCCTCGTAAATAATTTTTTTTCAAAGAAATCTTAAGATTATGGGGCGGAATTCCTGAGAACGCCACTGCTGTATCTTTCTTTGCTATCTGTCTTGTGAAAGTTTTCACATTCTCAAACCTGAGCATGATAGATTGCAGGACATCGTCGTACAAACTAAAAATTCACTTTTGTGTGATTCCCTGGGGAGAGTTTGTTTTTAAGGTCGTTTACCTTTTCATAGACTCGATGAAAACATCGTGAAGTTGTATGCAGGATCTGCATAGCATAGCTAGGCATAACAAAACAAATAGAATGCAAAGATCGTGAGTTTCTCGATAAACTTCAGCTTGCAAACAATGGCTCGATAACTTATATTACACCTATTTCATTATGAACATGTCTAGCAGTGTCATAATAGATCCTCGGAATAACTTTATTTATCGAATCAATGAGAAGAGACACGGCTTTGAAAACAAGTGCTGTTGCTCTGGGAATCTCTTCAGGGTTTATACAAAACGACGGTGAAATTCTCACGTCGTATATTATATGAGAACCTTCACAAGTTAATCCAAAAAAGATACAGATACTTGGATCAGCAAGACAAGGCGCTCCCATCTCAGCTTTCTCTCCCCCCCCCCACCATCGAGGATGTACGTGGTTTCCTTATTTGTACCCATATACGTATAAAATTTAATACTTCAGTTCAGCAGACATTGACTCCAAGAGCTGATGCCCAGCCTACACAGGCTTACACTGAAGTCAACCTTTTTTTTCAATATATTGAAAAGCTTAAGCAATTCAGGTGCACTCATCATCAACATTCTTTGCGCCCACAATTCCTATGATAGATGCGTCAAAGAGGTTAGCCTTTGTCTGGAGATTCCAATGAGTAAATCAACAGAGCTTCCAGCTACACCGCATTTACGGAACGGCTTTCAAATTCTGCACCTTTAAAAAATTACACAACTCATCCAATCTGGTAAAATCTATTGATTATGTAGTAACTCACTGCAAGTAACTGGTTCAGGTAATGACATGCACACAGAAACCTGCACCTAGTGGCTTAGCTACATTATATGAGAATTTTGCCAATTACGCGAAATATAATGCAAGAGTTAGCGAGAAATGGTCAGAGTGAACTCAGGAGAAAAAACTATTTTTCTTCTGCGAAATCATTTATTTAACGTGGTCGTGAAAATTTCATATGTATGTAGACTATACTCCTATTCTGCTTTGAGTCGTGACTCAAATTCCTCCTCATTTCTGCAATAACTCGTAGTATTTGTCATTTGGCACACACGTAAAATAGCTTGTGATGTATGAAAAGACGTATAAATAATACGGAAGTACCTTGGTCAGACATGGGTGGAAAAAATCCAGATTATGTGTTACAGAACTGCACTTGCAAGTTAACTTATGGTTAGAAGAAAATCTATCAGGTTTTTCGAAAGTTCCACCCTTATTTGTACCCCTTTTGAACTGCCGATTCTGAAGGAAAAACCATTATTCATGAGCATTGCTTGTATTCTTCGAAAACACTTTTCTATTTTTTCATGCATATATCCGTTTTCGTAGGCCTCGTTTATTCTGTGGTTCGTACCTTATAAGGGCGGCAACACAAATGCCTTTGCTCTATTGCCGTGAAATTCACAGGAAAAAAACTTCTTTCAAAGGATATGTAAAGTTTTCCGGAGACTTGCAATAGAAATACTCAACATTATGATTTTAGAATTTTGAACTGAAAATTTTTGGCATAAACAACCCTTGTTGTTGTTCGCACTGCATCACTGTGCGGCTTTCTTCGGTGGTTCGCATCACCTCTCCTTTCATTATGTCTTTATTCACAATAGAATACAGATTTGTTTATTTGTTTATTTGATAAAGTCGACAACAAAACAATCATATCTTTTGAGGCAAAGAAAGTACATCCACGGTCGACTAAGGAGTCTTGCTGCCTCTCAGAAATTGTGTCCCCATTTTTTTGAAGGCCAGCGAGCCTACGGGCGGAGGCTAGCTGGCTATAACCCCATCAAAAAGTATTTCCAAAAGGACAGCAAGACATGCAGACAGAACAAGAAAAAAAACGAACAGAAAATCAATGAAACTTTCATGAGGTGGATAGTTCATCCGAGAAAGGGAAATGAGGTAGAAAAGAAACGATGTATGGCTTATGGCTTATTGCAGTGGTTTTTTTCAATGTTTTTCCTAGGGAATAGAATAGGAGGAATAGCATATAGTGCGATTTCCTCTTCTGGATAGAGGAACCAAAACCGGCTAGAGTGCTGCTGTTGAGAGGACAAAGGGGAACGACCTCTTCCGCTTCTGCAATTAAAAATCAGAATGACCCTTGCGATTTCAAATATTTTTGAACTTCTCTGTTGAAAATGAAGGCGTTTCTCGCAGTAACAGCTTCCACAGGGAGATCATTCCAAGTTTTGACTACGCGCACTAAGAAGGAGTTGAAGAACTGCTTAGTTCTAACTTTTCCTACTACAACCCTGAAGTTGTGTCCTCTAGTGAGATTGTTAAAAGTTGACAGTCTGAAAAAATCTTGCATTCTCAGCTCAACTCTTCCAGTCATAATTTTGAAGACTAGATCTTGGTCGTACATCACTCTTCTAAACCGAAGGGAGGTCGCGGCGAGTATGAGAGCCTAGCTTTGTATGACAGTCGAAACATTCCAGCCCGGGCAAAGATCCTAGATGTGAAAGATCGTTGGACTCGTTCCAAGGCATCAATTTGGGCTTTCTTATAAGGGGACCATAGAGGAGTACAATATTCCAACAGAGGCCGCACATAGGTGACGAAGAGGCGGAAGAGCGTTTTGACATTCGTGGTTTTAAATGCGCGTAGTATGTAATTACATCTGGTGTGAGCAGCATCAATTATATCTCTTATGTACTTCTCGAACTCCAACTGGGAAGAGTAAGTCACACCAAGGTCTTTAGCATTATTCAATATTCGAAGATGTTGTTCTCCAATACTGAATTGCCACTGGGGGTGCATAGCCCCGACTGGCATAATGAAGGTTTTTTCAATGGAAATGTCGAGCTCCCATCTTTTGGACCACCCCTCTATGGCATTTAAGGCGTTCTGCATCAGACTAGGGGAATTATAGCAAGAAAGCTTGGTATCGTCAGCATAAATTGAGCAGAGTATATTCTGGGGAAGGCATGTCGGTAGATCATTGATATATAGCAGAAACATCACAGGACCTAGGCAAGTTCCCTGCGGCACACCGCTCGTTGTTTGGTACGTAGAAGAGAAGGATTCATTGACTTGCACCTTTTGCGTACGGTTAAGCAGAAAAGATTCCAAAAATTTGAGCAGTCTTCCCTGAATGCCATACGCTCTTAGTTTCTTAAAAAGTAGATCCAAAGGCACAGAATCAAATGCTTTTTTGTAATCTAGGTAGCAAACTGTAACAAAACTTTTATCATCAATAGCTTTTTGCCACATAGGCACTGTGGACATGAGAGCTGACAGTGTAGATCTTTTGGGAAGAAAGCCGTGCTGCGCATTGTGGATTAGCTGGTTCCTTTCAAGATAGGAGCAAATCTGTTTGTTGATTATTCTTTCAAAGACTTTGCTAACCGAAGATGTCAAACAAATCGGTCTATAATTCATGACGTCAGCTTTGCAGCCTTTTTTAAATATTGGCTTCACAATTGCGGTGCGCCAGAGTAAAGGAGTTTCTCCCCGGAGAAGGAATCTTTGGAATAGTAACGCCAATACTGGAGCTATACCGAGAGATGCCTTACGAAGGAAAATGTGTGGTAGTTGGTCAGGGGACGTGGATCTCCTAAGTGGGAGGCGCCTCAAAATATGATAGACTGTATCCGTGGTGATGTCAAGATAATCGAGTCTGGCGTTTGTAAAAGATGAGCATTTTGCTTCAGAGGTAGTAGGCTCTTTATAAACGCTTTTAAAGAATTCGGCAAACCTTTCTGCTTTGTCCTTATCACTCTTACAAGCGTGCCCAGCAGAGTCATATATAGTACCGATACCGTTAGACATCTTCAGGTTTTGATTGCAGAGGCGATAGAATGCTTTGATGTTGCGGCTACGTGCGATTCTATCCTCTTCTGCAAGTCTACAACGGTACAACTCTCGCTTGAGTTTTCTTGAGAACCTCATATACTTCTGAGGGCCAATTCTATTCCTCGCATGATAAAGCCTAGAAACCTTCTCTTCAAGCCTGAGTATCCTTTGCGGATACATGAGGGTGTGACCACGGGCAACTTTACGAAGGCACAAAGTTGTTTATAGCGTTATAACAAACATGAAGGAATAAATCGTAACAATGATCTGCCGAAACTGCGCTTAGAATGATGTTTCTCCAGTCAATTTCCAACAATTTTGCATTTATGGCAAAATAGTCTGCATGAGCAAAGTCTAGAAAGTATTTCTCCGGCAAAACAACCCTACGACGCTTACGCAGCTCAAAAGCTATAGAGCGATGGTCCGATGTAGAGAAGGGTGCGCAAACTTGAAGATTTTTTATAAGTCTACAGTTATTGGAGAACACAAGGTCGAGCAATTGCAGATCTCGAGTAGGGTATTTCACTAATTGGTGTAAGCCATAAACTTCTATAAGCCGCAGAAGTTCCGCGGAGCTGGAGACACAGCAATGACTTCCCAAACTACCACTATACCAACGAGTATTAGGCAGGTTGAAGTCTCCCAAAATAATACAGTCTTGGTTTCTATCGAGCATCTCTGCAAAGTATCTCACTGCACCTCCAAAGGATGTGCTATCACATTGAGGACTTCGGTATACTAAAATAAAGTAGGTGCAACCAGCTTTTTCAGTTAAACAAAAACATAGACACTGGCAGTAGGGAGAAAAGTTTTGGCTGGCAACTAAGTGGTGCTCTATCCTCCTGCTAATAAGGGAAAGGACCCCTCCTCCCACGGTGTTGCCTTCTCTATCGCATCTATATATATCAGATTACACGACTATATACAAACATTACCATACTTACACTTTCCTTTTCCTTTCTGTTATCTGGGTTTGCCTTTTGGAGAAGAGTTACATTCGAAGAGATGGTGGCAGAATCATGGAAGCCAACCTTGGGCTCTTTGCCTCTTCCCTTAAGTTTGCTTCTTCTATGTCAAAACCTAAGAAGATATAGCTTAACAGTGAGATGTTGCACCTGTGTCATTCGTCCTGATCTATCTCACTGCTCAACCGCTAAAATGCAAAAATACGGAGGGACGTTCACATCCCTCATTATTGACGCTCCAACTGTTTAAGCACAATCGAGGGCTCCAGTTGCGTCATCCAAAACACTTTCGATGACCAGAAATTGGCTTGTCATGGAGATCTAATTCAAAGGGTAGCTCTGTCACCGGGTCGTATCTCACGCAAGTAACGTTTCCTCTTACAGCGTGTAAGAATCGCGGCATCCAGCAAGGCCCGGGGCTTGCCAGAGTCGTTCTGTCGGGTCGAGGCTAGAGGGCCGGGGCTTGCCCGAAAACTACATATGCAGGGAGTCCTGTAAGGGCCGAGGCTCGCCCGTGTGGTTTGTCTCGGGCCGCGGGTGTTCCGATGAAATATTGAAATACCAAGTGCGCATATATGAATACCAGTGCTTCGCCTCTGCTTCGCAGAGGCTCGCACTGGCCATCAAGAAACGATAGTAAACTTACGATGTGAAGGCTTTCTTTTAGATTATTGTCAGGTTGACTGCGGTGAGAGAGTCCTAATTAAAAATGAACCATACTCGCTATCAGAACCTCACATGCTCCAAAGTGTAAATCATTCCTCACCGTATTTTCGTAACAGACAGACTTACAGACCGACAAATAGGCGGCTTATTATGAACCATGATATATGAAATACCAAGTGCGCATATATGCCGCACTTGGTGCAAGTACGGCACGGCGGGAGCCCAGCACCTCTTCCGGAATTTCAAAATTGTGTGCGGTGACACACATCGCACCGAGGTGACTAGACGGATGACGCCTACTATATATCGTTCGCGTTGCCGCACTTTGTTTTGTTGTTCAATTGGTCTTCCTCATATCTCCTAAACAGATATCGGCGGCACAGCCCCACAGAGCTGTTTGAAAAGTAGGCTTATGCCCTGATAACCTTGGATCAAAAAAATCTCTTGTAAACGTTAGAAAGATCCTTTAAAGCAGTGCTGCACCATGTGCAGCACCGGAATGTGTTAAATTTCTTA